CGCATATTCTCACTTATAAGTGGGAGCTAAATGATGAGAACACATGTACACATGGAGGGGAACAACAGACATTAGGGCCTATCAGAGGGTGGAGAGTGGGAGGAAGGAGAGGATCAGGAAACATAACTAATGGGTATTAGGCTTAATACCTGTGTGACAAAATAATCTGTACAACAAACCCCCATGACACAAGTTTACCTGTATGAAAAACCTGCATATATACCCCTGAACTTAAAAGTTAAGAAAAAAAAAATAAGTGGATGTTAAAATCATTAGACGCATGGTTGATAAGAAATATTAGAATGCAGGGATCATGCTGACACTGCTTGAACCTATGGGTTCACCCTAACCTTACCCTGTAGTATGGATATAAAGGAAGCACACAGTACAAATATACTACCACTGTGGGGGATGCTGGAAAACGAAAAATGGAACCAACGTATAGTCCAGCCATTCCACTACTAGATATATGTCCAAAAGAAAGGAAATCAATATGTCAAAGAGATATCTGCATTCTCATGTTTATCACAGCACTATTTACAATAACCAAAATGTGAAACCAGCCTAAGTGCCCTAATGAATAAAGAAAATATGGTATAAATACACAATGGAATGTTTTTCAACCATAAAAAAGAACAACTTCCTGTTATTTGAAGCAACATGGATGGACCTAGAGGTCATTATGTCAGGTGAAATCAGCCTGTCACAGAAAGACAGATATCGCATGTTCTCACTCATGTGAGAGCTAAAAAAGTGGACCTTGTGAAGGTATAGAATAGGATAGTGGTTACTGGAGCCCAGGCATGGGAAGGGGTAGGTTTAGACGAAGGAAAGCAAGAATATAAATAAAATATATTTATTACCACTGAACTGCACACTTAAGGAAAAGATGGTGGCCGGACGGGGCGGCTCACACCTGTAATCCCAGCACTTTGGGAGGCTGAGGTGGGCAGATCACAAGGTTAAGAGATTGAGACCACCTGGCCAACATGGTGAAACCCTGTCTCTACTAAAAATGCAAAAATTAGCTGGGCATGGTGGCGGGCGCCTGTAGTCCCAGCTACTTGGGAGGCTGAGGCAGGAGAATCGCTTGAACCTGAGAGGTGGAGGTTGCAGCAAGCCGAGATTGCACCATGGCGCTCTCGCCTGGGTGACAGAGTGAAACTCAGTCTTAAAAAAAAAAAAGAAAGAAAGAAAAGAAAAGAAAAGATGGTAAATTATATATGTATATTTTGTCTCAATTTTTAAAGGTCACTCAAAAAAAGAAGTAAAACCAATTGAATGAAGATCTTCGATCTAACTGTTAGTTTACAGGAAATACAGGGAATAGAGAGAGGTACGGTGACACCCATGGAAGCAACTGGTCAAATCCAGAACATGGGACATTCTGCAGGATGGTGGCCTGACTTCCCTAATACATCAATGCTGTAGAAGGAAAGATGGAAGGCCAGAATGTTCTAGAATAAAGGAAACTTAACTGGCATTATGGGATTTTGTTTGGTTCTTGAATTAAATGTTCAATTGTAAAAAGACATTTTGAGACACTTGAGGTAGTCTGAATAATGACAGATACCTAGACATTTCTACTTATTGGGATTGTTTTAATTTTTTTTTTATTTTGAGACAGTCTCGCCCCTGTTGCCCAGGCTGGAGTGCCATGGCCCAATCTTGGCCCACTGCAACCCCCGCCTCAGCCACCCGAGTAGCTGGAGTTACAGGCGCCTGCCACCACACCTGGCTAATTTTTGTAGTTTCAGTGGAGACGCGGTTTCACCATATTGGCCAGGCTGGTCTTGAACTCCTGGCCTCAATTGATCCACTCCCCTTGGCCTCCCAAAGTGCTGGGATTATAGGTGTAAGCCATTGCACCCGGCCTGTTTTAAATATTTTATATATAATAATGACAGTGTAGGGAGTCACACTCTACCTCTGCCCTCTTAGGGGTCCCAGCTGGGCCTGAGAATTAAATTGACAAGAGATAGATTAACAGGAAAACAACATGCAAATTTAATATAAGTTTGACATGACACTGGAGCCCACGTAAGGAAATGAAGACCCAAAGACGTGGTTAGAGGTGAATGGTAATATGCTGAGCTGGACAAAGAATAGCACGTTGTGAAAAAACAACTAAATTATGTGGTGAGGCTAAAGGCAGGTAAGAATTATTTTACCAAGATCTATTTTTATAGAATTATGTTGGTCTCAACTTTTCATGCTTGATGATAAGAATGTTGCTTTCCTTCCAATATAGGGATGGCATCCTTCATGTGGGAATTTCATCCCTATACTTTTAAGAAACAGGTTGGACCAGGCGCGGTAGCTCACGCCTGTAATCCCAGCACTTTGGGAGGCCGAGGCGGGCGGATCACGAGGTCAGGAGATCGAGACCATCCTGGCTAACATGGTGAAACCCCGTCTCTACTAAAAAATACAAAAAATTAGCTGGGTGTGGTGACAGGCGCCGATAGTCCCAACTACTCGGGAGGTTGAGGCAGGAGAATGGCATGAACCCGGGAGGCAGAGCTTGCAGTGAGCCAAGATTGCACCACTGCACTCCAACCTGGGCAATAAAGTGAGATTCGGTCTCAAAAAAAAAAAAGAAACAGGCTGAAGCTCAGAGTGATCTGGTATTTGCTAGTTTGTTTGTCTTTGGAGGCATCTTTAGCTGAAAATAGTCAGTATGCCAGAACATCACATTTTGGGGTAGTATATTTTACCACCCTTTATCAACAAGGTTAGGTAAAGTAGATATGCATGTACATATTCATGTAGACAAGTTACTTGATACATAGACATACACACATCTATCTGTCTGTTGATCGGTCTGTCTACATATAACTCCTTGACAGTTAAAGAAGCACGGTGAGGTGTTTATAGGTAAAATGACAGATCTGATATTTGCTTTAAATTGCTCACACATGAAAGGCAGTAGAGAAAACAAGATTGGTCAATATTGATGAGTTTTGAACCTGGTTAATGTGGAAGTCATATATTGAAGCCCTTGCAAATTTTATAATAGTTTTCTTAAAACCCTTGTATTTTTACAATCGTACACCATTCAAATGATCAAAGATGTTTGACATGGTGGAGGGTGGGGCTAAGTGTGAGGATCCTGATGTATGGCTGGGGGTCTCTTCTGGAAAGCAGTTTGTCTGGATGTGCCAGGAGACTTACGGATGTCGCTGACATCTGACCCAGCAGTTCCTCTCGTGGGAATCCGTACTGAGGAAATTACTGTGAATATCAAGAGCTCTGTAAAAAGTGATTTGCTTCAGGATTATTTTAGATTTTGAAATTTGCAAGTAATCCAAATGTGCAACAATAGAAGAATGGTCATTGAATGGTGCTGTATCACATGACAAAATATTTTGCAACCCTTATAAAGAAGCATTTAGTTTTTAAATACCACTGGAAGATACCTATAACAATGTTAATTGGAAAATAGCAATGTTAATTGGAAAAAAAAGGATAAAATTGTACCTGCATGCATCTGTGTAAATAGTGGACATTTATGAAAAAATATGCATAGAAAAAAGGCTGGAAGGAAATATGACAAAATGTCTTCATTAGTTTGAATTGAATCATGACCTTCTACTGTAAAGACATGCAGCACTATTTACAATAGCAAGGACTTGGAACCAACCCACATGCCCATCAATGAGAGACTGGATAAAGAAAATGTGGCATATGTACACTATGGAATACTACACAGCCATAAAAAACAATGAGTTCATATCCTTTGCAGGTGCGTGGGTGAAGCCGGAAACGCTCATCCTCAGCAAACTAACACAGGAACAGAAAACCAAATACTGCATGTTCTCACTCATAAGTGGGAGTTGAACAGTGAGAACATATGGACACAGGGAGGGGAACATCACACAGCAGGACCTGTCAGGGGTGAGAGAAGGAAGAGCATTAAGACAAATAGCTAACGTATGAGGGGCTTAAAACCTTGATGACGGGTTGATAGGTGCAGCAACCACCATGGCACATGTAAACCTATATAACAAACCTGCACGTTCAGCACATGTATCCCAGAACTTAAAGTAAAATAAAAAGTAATAATAAAATAACAAAATGCCTTCATTAGTTCTGATTGAATGATGGATTCACAGTGAATGAAATCTTTTTCTATTTGTCTTTATTTTCCAGACTTATTTTTACCGTGAACATAAATTATTTTTTTTCCTATGTAGCTTTTCTTAGCTTTATAGAGGTATGATTAATATATCATAAAATTCACACATTTTAAGAGTACAGTCTGATGTGTTACTGGAAGTATATACAGTTTTGCAACTACCACCAGTCAAGTTTCAGAACACTGTGACTCTGTGAACTGCCTCATACATATTTTCAAGTAGACTTTATTTTTAGAGCAGTTTTAGATTTACAAAAAAATTGAGAAGATAATACAGATAATTCCCATATATCCTGCACCCAGGTTCCCCTATTATTAACATTTTCTATTATTATGTTACATTTGTTAAAATTAACAAACCAAAGTTGATACAGTGTGATCATGTATCAGTTGTCATCAAAGTCCATGCTTTATTCAGATTTTCGTAGTTTTTAATCTAATGTCCTTTGTTCTGCTCTGGGATTCCATCCAGGATATGACATTACATGTAGTAGTCATGTCCATAAATTAATTTTTAATGGGAAGAAAAGTAAAATAAACTTTATTTTTAAATCCTCCAAATATATTAGCTATCCATTTTTCCCTTGGTTTCCTTGTCGTTGTTGACTTGTTACTTGTTGACAAAAACATGTCTTATACATTCCTTTTTGTACATCATGTGGTACCTTACAAATTTACTAAGTAAGAGTCAGCTAACGGCCTTCAATAATTGGATGAAGCAGAAGTGAGCGGGGAAAGGAAGAAAAGGAGGACAAAGAAAGCCCTTGCCTCCACATAATTTAAAACCTCAGAGCTTTGAAAGACCGTTGGTTTCTGTTGCAATTTCATGTAATGGACTTCTTTTGGTTTTTGTGTTTCCTAGGTTGGAGATTGCAACCCTGAATCGAGCAGATGCAGATCTGGAGGCTTGTCGAACACAAATCAGCAAGGATATCATTGCCCTTCTACTGAAAAATCTCACCAGCAGTGGCCACCTCTCACCCCAAGTAGAGAGAAAAATGAGTGATGTTTTCAAAAAGCAGTTTATGTTGCTGGAAAATGAAATACAAGAGGAGTACGATCGGAAGATGGTGGCATTGACAGCTGAATGTGACCTGGAAACAAGAAAGAAGATGGAAAACCAGTACCAGAGAGAGATGATGGCAATGGAGGAAGCAGAAGAGCTGCTGAAACGTGCTAGTGAGAGGGTAAGACAGGTCTGAAAGGAAGGCATTCACTTCCCTTTCTCTCAGGGATTTGTCATTTATCCATCTACCCACTCATCTGTCCATTTGCCGCCTCCATCCATCTACCTGTCACCCATCCAACCATCCACCCATTCATCTATTCACCCTTTCATTCATTCATGCAACCATTCCCACCATCCATCCATCATCATCTATCCATCTACCCATCCACCCATTCACCCACTCATCCACTCATCCATCCACCCACTCATCCATTCATCTATGCACCTGTCCATCCATCCACCCACTCATTCACCCATCTGTCCATCTACACATCCATCTATCTGTTCATTTATCCACCTACTCATTTATCCATTCACCCTCCCATCCATGCCACCCATCACCCATCCAACCATCCATCTACCCATCCACTCATTCCCCATCCAGCCATCTACCCATCCACTCATCCATTTACCCATTCACCCATGCCTCCATCCATCTACCTATCCACCTGTCTGCCCATTATCACTCATCTACCCATCCATCTGTCCAGAATTCATTAGCAAAAATGTGTTGATTACTTACTGTCCGTCAGGCATTGGGTTAGGCAGTGAAGGTATAGGGAACAATGAGACATGGTTCTTCCTTTCAAGAAGGTCATAGTCTTATAAAAAAAATCTATACACATAAAAAATGAGACTTTATTCAGTTGTGTTATAATAGAGGTATGTTCACAGTGCTATAGAATTCATGGGTAGAGAAGAAAGGCTTCATTCATAGCAGAGCACGTCTGTAGAGGGCATGGTTCACAGAAAGTTGTGATGTCAGAGTGCATGTGTCCCCCTCTGGACTATAGCCTGTTAGGTTACAGTTCTCTCCAGCACAGGCTCTAGAGTCAGAAAAACCTGGACTCACAGTCTAGTACATTCCAGCTCTGTTCCTGAAGGCCTTAATTAGGCACTACAAGTCTAATGGCAGCCACCTCTCAGGGTGGGTGGGAGAAGCAATGTAGGAAAAGCAGCTGCCCGGCACCTATGGGCTGCAGAAGGCTCTCAGCTCACAGTGCTCAGCTGGAGTTCTCATCACTCAGCCTTCCCAGGGCTGGCCCAGATTGCTCAGAAGTCAGCTCTTGTTTTTCCAAAAGTTGTGTCACTTGCTGCCTTGAAAGAACTAGAGTTTTTCCTGAATGTACAAAATCAAACCTGATTTCTGTTTTCCTCTGTGAAAGAGATGGCTTATTCAGTTCATGTGACCTGAGCCTGCAAATCCTGTTCTGAACATTTACTTCCCTAGGGAGGGCTTCCAACTACTTAAGAACAAGCTTCTGAACTCAGCTTCCCTTCCGCAGACTGTGGCCATCTACAGCTCTCTTGTTAACAGCTCGTGACTCACAGATGGTCATCTGTAGTCAGATGTGGGATGAGCAGTAAAGAAAAGGGGCGAGGTCCTCACTGTCCTGCCCGCATCTGCTCCCTTGCTCCTGGGGCCTCCCTTGCCTTCAGAACCATCTCATTTTAGGGTGTGGCTTGTGTACTCTTTGGCGGTCCTGTCCTGGTTTCCTGTGGCTGCCCTAATAAATCACCACAAATTTAGTGGCTTAAAACAACAGAAATTTATTCTGTTATATAATAGTTCTGGAGGCCAGAAGTCCAAAATCTAGTTGTCAGTAGGATCCTTCCGTGTTCGGTTCAGCTTCTGGTGGCTCCAGGTGTTCCTGGGTTGTAGCTGCATTACTTGAATCTTTGCTCTGTCTTCCTGTGGACTTTTCCCGGGTAACCCTCTCATCTCCTGTCTCTTATAAGGACATTTGTCATTGAATTTAGGTCCCACCTAAATAATCCGGGATGATCTAATAAGATCTTAAATTAATTTCATGTGGAAAGACCCTTATTCCAAATAAGGTCCTGAGGTTAGGATCTAGACATACCTTTTTTAGGGGGTGGGGGTGTCACCATTCAGTCCACTGCAGCCTCCCTCACCGACACTGGCCTCTGATGCCCTGTCTATGACTGTGCTGGTCAACATCACGCATCCTTGAACCGGGCCCTTAGGAAGAATGTATTGAATGCACTGTTCGGTGATTCAGCCTCTAAATGATCCCATTATCTCTCTTTTGATTCCTTCCAGAATCTGTTACAATTTTTTTTGTTGTTGTTCTTTGAGATAGAGTCTCACTCTGTCACCCAGACTGGAGTGCAGTGGTGCAGTCTTGGCTCACTGCAACCTCCACCTCCTGGGCTCAAGTGATTCTCTTGCCTCAGCCTCCTGAGTAGCTGGGATTATAGGCGCCCGCCACCACGTCCAGCTAATTTTGGTATTTTTAGTAGAGACAGGGTTTCACCACATTGGCCACACTGGTCTCGAACTCCTGACCTCAGATGATCCGCCCACCTCGGCCTCCCAAAGTCCTGGAATTACAGGCATGAGCCACCATGCATGGCCAATTTTTTTTACCTTTAAAAATAATACATGCTTAACAAGGGAGGCCTGGACAGTACCTTAAGGCAGCAGTCAGCAAACAAGGACACACAAGCCCAATCTTGCCCAGCTTGTTTTTGTGTGGCCCACAAGTTGAGTATGTTTTTTACATTTTTAAAGAGTTTTAAAAATCAAACACACAAACAGAAAGAAGAATACGTAACAGAGACCTCAGATGGCAAAGTCTAAAATATGGCTCCTTACAGAAAGCCTATCTGATTTCAGATCCAAAGCTGAAAAAGAAAAAGCCCTGGGAAAAAAAAAAAAAAAAAAAAAAAAGGGAAGCCCATCCCACCACTCAATGGCAGAGGAACATTCATTTGGCCCATTATTGAGTTCCTACTGTATACCTAACCCTGGAGATACAGGGATGGCTCAGGCCGCCTTCACAGCTGCCCTCAGGTGCCAGCATACATTTTAGCCTTTTGCTTTATCCATTTGTTTTTACAAAGTAAGGATTATGCAGTTTGTATAATTGTATATGTTTCTTGTTTTCACTTTACATCACAGTATACACATTTGCTGATTTTATTAAATACTCTTACAAAATATGATGTATAAAAATAACAGCTCATTCTTCCTTAGCATGCACAGTGTGTCTGGCATTGTTCTAAGCACATCCCATTGACTGTCTCTTTATTGTTCACAATAACTCAGTGAGGTAGGGACTGAGAGGATCTCACTTTGACAGGTGAGGAAACTGAGCTGGGGAAGGTTCACCAACCTGAGGCCAGTCAGCCGCATGTTCGGCAGCACGCCCCCAACCACTGTGCACACTGCCCCCTCCTGCAGTGGAGGTTACATGCCTCTGCTGTGTGCCCCATGTGAACCCATCCTATGGGGCATCTAGAATGTTTCTAGTGCCTTTGCGGTCAAAAGACTGCCTGGGGCAATGCTTTTTTATGTGGAGAGCATGAGGACAGGATGCTGGGACTATGCCCTGTTCCCATCTGTCACACAGTCCCTCTCCTCCTCAGGGCTTCCTGACCCTGTATTCTCCATGACTTTTCTGCAGCCTCTCTCCCACCCACACCACCTTGCCCACCAGCATGCAGTGGGTGGGCACCATCACTCTCGATTTCCTAGGTTACCCTTTTCAAAGACAAGCAGCCACCTTATTTGAACCAGTCTGTTTCCAGAAATAGTATCTGAGCTGCAGAATTTAATAGAACTAGTTTCCTTCCAGTCCATGCAAGTGATTCCATCTCACAAAACCACAGACTACTTTATAATTATCCATCATGTGTTATAGTCATCTTTAAATAAAATACATAAAAATATTTTGGATGTATTATTCCACCAAGAATCGGTTTTAAAAAAAGAAAAGCAAAAGGAGCAGTATCAGCTTTCCTGAGTAAAGTTTAGTACAATACTGAGTAAAGTTTAGTACGATACTGAGTAAAGTACAGTCATCCCTCCCCCGATACCCAGGAAGCATTGGTTCCAGGACCCTCCCCACCGTCCCACCCCATGGATACCAAAATCCACAAATTCTCAAGTCTGTGTTTTAAAATGGTGTCAAATTTGCACATAACTTACACAAATGCTCTTGTATACTTTAAATCATTTCTATTACTTGTAATACTTAATATGATATAAATGTTATACAGTTATAAGTAGTTTATATAAGTGCTGTATAAAAAATAGTACTGTGTTGTTTAGGGAATAACAAGGAAAAAAAAGTCTGTATATGTTCAATACGCACAGAAAGTTTTGACCTGCAGGTGGTTATATCCATGGGTGCAGAACCCACAGATACAGAGAGCTGACTGTAATTAGTGGAGAGCTGAAATGTGTTCATATTATAATATTTAAATACATATATAATGCCTTATAGTTCTCAAAGCATTTCTCCATTGAGAAGCCCTGGGGAGAGTATTGGGGGATATAGGCACAGATGGCAGGTAGCTGGGGATTATTTCCTCAGTCTTTTCCTCCAGTAGGCACATTGCCCAGTCACCCTGGGTCTCCTTTCCCCAGCCTTAAGACAGGGATAATCACGAAACCTGAGGTCTTAGAGGGCTGTTGTGAGAATAAGTAAGTTAATTCTCATATAGTATCTCAGCCATTGCTCGGCACAGAGTCAACCCTGGACAAGGGTTTACTATGATTCATAACTGAATGTAATTTTTAAAGATGCCCGTGGCATAGAACACAGAATGTGAACTCTTTCTACTTGAAGGTGGGCAAACCGAAGCCCGGAGGGGAAGTGACTGGCAATCCAGCTTCCCGCATCCGGTTCAGAGCTGGGTCCTTCCTCTGGGGTTCGTCTTCTCTACCCAGGCTCTCCCCGCTGCTTTTCTGCCACTTAAAGTGGAGGCCCAGTAGATGTCTTGTCCTGGGCCGCCTGAGGCTTTCTAACCCCTGTGTGAGTCTTTGTCCTAAAGGAAGAGATTCCTTCAGCACAAGAATTCTGACATTTTCACCGTTTCTGATTATTTGTTTTTATAAAATATTTTTACAATGTGCCTATCTTGCTAAGTTGTGTACGGGGAGTATGACAGCACAGTCAAGGCTTTTGAGCGGGATTTCACTTTGTAATGCTGTAGAGTCAATATTATGCACAGCAGCTGCTCCAGCCAGCCTGATACAGGCCTGTGCTTCTCACACTGGAACTTCTGTACCCTCCCTTCAGGTTTATCCCCCCGACTCCCTCCATGGGACACTCCCTCCATGGGACACTTGCTTTTCTAGGTGTTGGAAACCATAGGATACATGTGCCTTATCTCCCTGAAGTCTATTTTATTGAGAAGTTCAATAAGGTGTTGGGGGTGAGTAATCATTACTTTCACATTCCTTTATAATGCACATTTGTGGCCAGGTGTGGTAATGCCAACACTTTGGGAGGCCGAGGCAGGTGGATTACCTGAGGTTAGGTGTTTGAGACCAGCCTGGCCAACATGGTGAAATCCTGTCTCTACTAAAAATACAACAATTAGCTGGGCATGGTGGTGGACGCCTGTAATCCCAGCCAGTCGGGAGGCTGAGGCAGGAGAATCACTTGAACCCAGAGGGCGTCAGTTGCAGTGAGCCAAGATCGAAGCACTTCACTCCAGCCTGGGTGGAAGAGTGAGACTCTATCTCAAAAAAAAAAAAAAAAAAAAAGCACATTTGTTGACAATATTTAAAATGTAAACTGTTCTATAAGAAAACCCAGATTTCCAACTAAAGGATGGGAAGACTGAGCTGTGTTACGTCCGTATTCCTGCGGAGCCCTTTGGTGGACGGGATAGAGGCTGCCCCTACAAGCAGGGCTTGCTCTTTGTCCCAGTCGCTAGTACTTCCTAGTGCCTGTCACGTCAGGCAGCTTCACTAGTTTGCAAACATGACCTCCCCTACTTGGCAGGCCGGGGGGTGTACCTCTCCTGCTTTAGGGCTTAGTTTTCTCATCTCTGTCACAGGAGGTTGAACTAGGTCAGGGGTGGAACTAGCATCTGCAAGGCTCTGAACTCCCATTCGGAGTGGGCATGAGAGTCCTGTCCACATGTATTTTAGAGAGTGTTTCACTATGGCACAAATACATTATTGCCTCATACTTTATTCTTCTGCAGACATATAATTCTAAAAAAAGGCCCCAAAGTTTTATTTTAGGATTTGTGTGTGTCTGCTTTTTATCTTGTCTGTGAGAAGCTAAATGGAAATTACCCCTTATTTCATTTCTATTAATTAGAATAAATTGAAGTTTGTGACTTGTCAAATTCTATACTGTCCAAAAAAGGTCACTTTGATGGATGAACCGACATAACTGGGCACCAGCTAGTCGTTCGTAGCGGAATGCCCCTGCGGTGCCCAGACTCAGGGTCCTGACACCCTCCTGGTTGTTGGTGAATTGCATCCTTTGATTTAGATCAAGTCAGTTGTGAATACCATTTCTCTGATATAGAGTGACTCATTTTGTCGAATCTAATCCTTTGTTATGAAATCAGCTTTTTAAAAAGACTGAATTGTTCTTTGGGGGGCAAGGCAAACCGTTGGTATGGGCATGGGTCTGACAGAGTTGCCAAGAGGATGCATGTAAAAACCTTTGACTTCTAGCCTTGTGGCCCCTGCTGTCATCCACTAGGCTTTGCTGTGAGCACCTGCAGGGCAGGGGATGCCATGTGTTGGCCCTTGGACCTCTTTGGAAGGCTCCAAATAATGTTTCTCTTTCTGGCCCGGATTCTGAACAAATCAAACAGTAAGTAAAAGGAGCTGGAGAGACAGAGAAAGCTAGAGATCAGCATATCACCTTTATGAGCTTCTGTGAGTTATTGGAAGTGGAGGTGAGCAGGTCTGCGACTTGGGAAATTGGGGAGCAGGTGATGCTATTTACTGCAACCAGAGAATTCCGGTGGGTGATAGAGCATTCCGACCTCGTTTAGCGTGAGGGAGCTCTGGCCCTTGCCCTCTGCACTGGAGCCCCTTCTGCCTTCCCTGGGCCTCTGCTCAGCCCAGCTATGGCATGATGCCACACCTGCCTGCTTCCCAAGGCCAGGCCTCTATTGGCCATTTGGGATGGCTGTACCCACGCCTCCTGCACATGTAAGCCTTTCCCTGCCTTCGCTTCACCAACAAGCTCCACTGTCACTGCCTGTGTAGTTTCAGAGCTTGGGGCCTGGACACTTGCTTTCAACATCCTTCCTCCCCTGCTGAGCATGAGTGAGAATTTGGGAAAACTCTTCCCTTCTCTGAGCTGTGTTTCTTCTCCTATAAAATGGAGGGTGTCCGTTTTCTATTCCTGCCTAACCAACCACACACATTGAGTAACACTGTCTCAGTGTCCATGGTCAGGAGTCCGGGCACAGCTTCACTGTGACCTATGCTCAGGGTGTTGCAGGCTGGCAATCAAGGTCTTGGCTGGGCTGCATTCTGCTCTGGAGCTTGGGGTCCTGGTCCAAGCTCATTCAAGCTGTTTGCAGAATTCACTTCTTTGTGGGTACAAGACTGAGGCCCTCAGCTCCTAGAAGTTTCCCTTCTACGTAGACAGTTTACAGCATGGCTGCTTGGTTCTTCAAAGCCAGCAGGAGACGGTCTCTGTCTTTAGGAAGGTTCCAGTGCTTTTAAGGAGTCAGGCCCACCCAGAAGAGTCTTCATTTTGATTAATTCAAAGTCAACTGATTAGTGACCTTAATTACATCATCAAGACACCCTCAGCTTTGCCATATAATGTAAACCAACCACAGGAGTGACTTAATCAGATTTATTCCCATGCTCAAAGGGAGGGAATTTATGTGGCGTGTGTATTGGGGACTGGGACTCAGGGTCCATTCTAGAATCCCGCCTACCCATGTGGAGTGAAGAGCAGCTCCCTCTGAGGGCATGAGTCTTACTGAGAAATTGCGGGGAGGCTGTATGCAAATGCATCAGGAGCTGAGTAGAGGTAAGCTTCCTTTCTTTCCTCATGCAGGACCTCATACTATGCAGGCATCCAAGCAGCCATTTCTTAATGCCTCTTTTGCTTCTCCTTACCCAAAGGATCTCCACTTGGGCCTAATTGCTGGTATTTTTCTCTTCAGCGAAGTTGAGAATGAAAGACAGGGGAAATAATCTTGTGAGCCTGACAGCATGATCCATTGATAGTGAAGAGATTTCCATTTAAAAAAAAAAAAGATTTCCATTTTTTACAGGCTATTTTCTAGCAGTTTGATTTGCACATTTCCACCCCTGTAAATATTCTGCTTTAAGATTATTCTAGAAAACATTTAGATAACAGGGGAGGAGAGGTTGGAACAGCATATTCCAGGGCTTAGTAACCTCATTATTGTCAGCTTGGTACTGTTTGTGTGTCTATGTGTGTGCATTGTTTTTGCTGTGTGTGTATATGCTGTGTGTGCACAAGTACTTGTGCCTTGTGTGTGTGCATGTTCTGTGTGTGCACATGTGTGTGTGTGCATATTGCATGTGTGTACATTGCATTACACATTGCGTGTGTGCATGTGCACAGATATGCGTGCGCATACTGCATGTGCATGTGTATATATATTGTCATGCATATGTGCATGCACCTGTGTGTTCATGTACACATTGTGTGTGCACATGTGCCTGTACACACTGCATTGCATGCACATGTAGGTGCATGTTCAGTGTGTCAGTTTCTCACACGCTCCCTCTCCTCTCTCCAGTCTGCTGTAGAGTGCAACAGCCTTCTGCGGACCCTCCATGGCCTGGAACAGGAGCACTTGAGGAAGTCTCTCGCTTTGCAGCAAGAAGAAGACTTTGCCAAAGCTCACAGACAGCTAGCTGTTTTCCAGAGAAACGAACTGCACCGTATCTTTTTTACCCAGATAAAAAGTGCTATTTTGAAAGGGGAATTGAAGCCAGAGGCGGCTAAAACGCTGCTGCAAAATTATTCTAAAATACAGGTAATGCCTCAAATCAGCCTGGCTGTGATGGAAAAGTAATTTTTCTTAATTGTTTCAGTAAGTGTCTCCTCTCTCAGAGTTCAGTCCTGCCTCTCCTTTGTACTGTGCACTAGTGAGCTTTCTCTTCTGTTTCTTGGTGTGTGGGTTTCCAGTAAGCAAGGAAAATGGTGGCTTGGAGTACAGGTCTTGAACTCAGGCTAACCTGGATTCGAATTTCAGTTCCACCACTGGTCTACTGCGTGAACTTGAGCAAGTTACCTCACTTCTTTGAGTTTCCTCACCTATAAGATGAGTGTGATAGAATGCCCACACTCTCAACGGTGTGAAGAAAATTTGATGAGCTGACTCATGGAAAGTTAGTGCTTGGCATAACATATGTTTAATGTAAATAGCAGTGGAAAATAAATATAGGCCAGGCTTGGTGGCTCCCAGCACTTTGGGAGGCCAAGATGGGAGGATTGCTTGAGCCCAGGAGGTGGAGGCTGCAGTGAGCCATGATAGCACCACTGTGCTCCAGCCTGGGTGACAAAGCCAGACCCTGTCTCAAAATAAATACATACATATATATATATATATATATATGCATGTATGTGTGCATGTATCGATGTATATGTAGGGTTAGTATCTGTGCCTGGATTTACTTGGAAGGATTTGTGTATTTTTGCATGTCAGCTTGAGTGAGAATGTTGTTAGTCCAACAGAATAATTTATTAGGCAGTAGTGAAAATAGTCTATCTGAAACCGTGCACATCACTGTGGAATTTCTTAGGAGGCCTGTGTGAGGTATTTTACGTGCACAAGTGCATGCACACACAGGCACACAGAGTGACATCACTGCTTTACAAGAATGCACGTTGTTGTTTGGCTCCAGCACTATCCCTGGTGCTGACAGCTTGCTGTAGCTGATGATAAGGGTGATTGTGAGCACACTCTTATTTTGCTGTATGGAACTTTGTATCTCAAATGTCAGTAAGATGTTTGAGAAATGCAAATGTCATTGTTTAGACAGGCTGCCTTTTCCAGGTTTTGAGCCAACCTCTGTTTCTAAAACAGCAAGGGTACCTTTGAATAGTGCTGGAGGCCTTGGAGCAGCATCTGGCAGAGTCAGGTCCACAGGGGTTGATTCGTTCCTCAGTCCAGTAATGTGTTCACAGTCATGAGTGCTTCACTGTGGTTCTTGAGCAGTGCTTTTTCTGATGTAGTGGACACTGCTATCTCATTTTTATCTTTATAAGTGAAAATCGTTCCAGAAAGTTGGCTTGCTGGTGAATTTTCCCACTGTGAAATTCCCTGTTTGTACTAGAAGGACAGACTCCACCCATAGCAGAATGAGCCACATCCACCTAGAGGGAATCAGGGCTTAACGACCAGGCTCTGTTACTCCATTGCTAAGACAGTGGCGAAAGATGAACTGGAACATCCAGAGGAGGTGCGGGCACAGGCAGCCGTCCCTGCATCTGTGAGCAGATCCTCAGCATTCTCCCAACTACTGACAAAGACAAAGGCTGGCCCTGCCCATCCTCCAGGGACCTGCAGCCAGCACCAGGTTGAGTGCATGAGGACTATGACATTAGGGCCGTCCCGGGAGGAGACCTAGTAATGGTCACAAGCCTCCCACTCCCCGAAGGCACCCAGGACATAAAGAGAACGAGCTCCCCGCTCCATTTAATCTAGGTTTTTCCTGGATTCATATACTCACATAAAGCACAAATTCTGTCGTATTTGTAGCTTGGTATTCAGACATCATGGCATTACTTAGATATTTACAGAGTTGTTGTCATTTTACTCTCATGATGAGCAATGGCTGACTCTCAATACCAGAGCACTCAAGTTAAAAAGAATGCATGCTATTGTGAATGATATTATGCCGGAAGAAGTAACTCCACAGGTGATAACAGTACTACCATACAAGCTTTTTTGACCAGAGCTATGAGAGTATTTAAGGATGCCAATTCTGAATTTCCTTATGACCCATCAATCAACTCGCATGGATCCCATTCCGTGGAGAACAGGAACATTGCCACAACCTTCCTATTGTATGGATTCTGGTGCCAGTGGCTCTTAGGGAGATGCTAGTGTGTGTGAAGCCACACCTGACTGACCATGCAGCTTTTCAACGACTGGATGGTGCTAATTCCCAAGTGTCGAGATGTGAAGATGTTACAGCTCTTACGTGGAAAGGAGAACGCCCATGCCATCGTATGTTCCCCATTGAACAAAGCGTTGACACTTTTGGTTATCCATTGTATGGGTGATACTTCCACAGATGGAAAAAGGACAACCAAGCCAGTCCATAGAGTAGTTCTACTGATGTTCCTGGTCTAATTACTATGCCTCTGGTTAAAGTGGGATTTTTGGAAGCAGCCTATTATGATGTTAGAGCACAGGTCCTGGAATTAGACTGCTGAGTTCAAATCCCTGCTCAGCCTTTTGTCTGATGTGGACTCAGTTTCCTCATCTGTGAAATGGGAATAATAGTACTGTCTCCCTAGGTTAAGTTAGATGAGACATGAAACACTCTTGGCCCAGTGTTAGGTCCAGAGAACACACCTCACATTAGCTAGGTGATTACTCTTCTGTGTTTGATTGGGTTTTGTTCATTTTGCAGGCTGAGGGAAAACCTGCTTGCTTTCTTTGTGCCCACCCTGGTCTTGTCTTATCTGTGGTGATGGGAGCTCCTTGGGGTTGGGCTGATGGCTGACTTATCCCAGAACTTTAGCACGTCCTCCTGGTGCTCAGCACTTGTGGGAACTCCACAGGTGGGAGGGGTGTGTGCATGGATGACGGATAAATGAATAAGTGAAATTTATGTTCTGTAGAGCAGTAAAGTTGTTTTGTTAACTCTTTACCATCTGGGTCTAGAATGCACCTTTTCAAAGCCCTCATTTCTTATTTGTGTGTAATTTTCTCATAAGCCTTTGTTATAGGCAGGTAAGTTAAAGGTGTTAATTGTCATGTTTCTTTTCTTGTGTTTTTCTTATAAAAGGAAAAATAATATTTTAAATGTCTAGAAAGATTATGCTCTAAATTTTAATTAGGCATATTTTCTTGATTTTTTTTTTATTGACAGGAGAATGTAGAAGAGTTAATGGACTTTTTCCAGGCTAGTAAGAGGTATCATCTAAGTAAAAGGTTTGGCCACAGGGAATATCTGGTTCAGAACCTCCAGTCATCAGAGACCCGTGTGCAGGGCCTTCTGAGCACCGCTGCAGCCCAGCTGACTCACCTCATTCAGAAGCACGAGAGGTACCACCCAACAGTGTCTCAACAGTGCAAACTGTCTTAGTCTGTTTTCTGCTGCTATGACAGAATACCACAGACTGGGTAATTTATAAATAGGAGAGATATATTTGGTTCACAGTTCTAGAGGCTGGGAAGTTCAAGATGTAATGAGGGCCTTCTTACTTCATCATAACATGGTAGAAAGGCATCATGTGGGAAGAAGTGCATGTGTGAGACAGAGTGAAAAAGGGGGTCAAACTCCTGTGATAACTAACACAGAAATGGCATTAATCCATTCATGAGGGTGGATCCCTCATGACCTAATCATCTCGTAAAAGTCCCGTCTCTTAATACTGTCACAATGGCAATTAAATTTCTAGTTTTGGAGGTGACATTCACACCATGGCACAAATGAACTGCCTGACACAAACCTTCCTCACTGGAGACCTACTACTTCTGTTTATTCAGCATATGTGCTGACTGCTCCTCACTTATTATTTCTAAAGAAGAATTATCTTGTAAAAATCCTTTGTGTTACCGAATTTTAAAAGCATATGCAATAGTCTAGACAACTGTATAATGAACCCCCCTCATGGCCAATTTTGATGTAGCTACACGTCCCCCCACAGGATTATTCTGAAGCAGAATCCCAACAACATATTCTGGAGAAATCAGTGATGTGGCTCACGTCGACCATGTGATCAAGAGCCTACTTCTCTTTAAGATCTAGCACACTGCTGGCTCTTGCATTCACCTTTGACACTAAATACAAACACAGAGATGCTTGTCTCGGATTCCAAATGGCTTTTCAGAGCAGCACCTGGGATTCCGTGTGGTCAGGTATATCGTGGTGTCACAGAGTTCTAAGTGCCATCCCTTGCCTCTCTCCAGCATTCCTTCTCAGCTATTCTTTGAGGTGACTTAATTGTAAAGAACAAAATTTATTCTTTTAGGTTACAGGAAGCTCTGAAATGAATAGGGACATGACTATAAAATGGCTTTCTTATGACAATCTGTTGTTTTACTGTGGTTCTGCTACTTAAGTAACCTTATTGGGACTTTGACCCTTTCCTGCTCTGTTTAATGAGGATTTGGTAAGGTGCAAATTATGCAAACACTCCCCACCTAAAGATGCTAATGAATTTATCACTGCAATTTACTTGGCATTCCTGATTTTAATTTGCACTCAAGTGAAAGAAACAGTTCTTTGCCTTGAAATTAAGGGCCCACCAGCTGGTTGTGAGCAGTCACCAGGGAAAGATGCTTCATCCCTTCTTTTCAAATTCTATTTTAAAAGACATAATTATCCTTCACCTGTTCATTCCTCCAAGGAACCTCTGTTGAGAGTCTTCCCTGGGCCAAGCTGGGGACTCAGCCCAGGGATGCAGGCAGTCTAGGAATGATAGTGGTGATGCTAGTAGCAGAATGTACTTGTCAGGGTGCTCCAGGGAAACAGAACCAACAGGATATATAAACATATAGACAGCATTGTCTGCTGTTTCCAGCTTGCCATACAAGTAGCTTCCTATATAAATAGGAACTAGCTCAAGCAATTATGGAGTTTGAGAAATCCCCTTGTCTGCTGCCTGCAAGCCGGAGACCCAGGAAAGCCAAGGGTGTAATTCGGTCCAAATCTGAAGGCCTGAGAACCAGAGGGAGCTGCTGGTGTAAGTCCCAGTCCAAGGGCAGGAGAAGAGATGAGAGATCCCACTGTAAATTGTAAGGCAGAAAAAAAAGGGACAGATTCCTCTTTCCTCTGCCTCTGTGTTCTATTCAGGACCCCAGCATATTGGATGATGCCCGCTCACACTGGGGAGGCCCATCTGCTTTACTGAGTCCACTGATTCAAATGCTGACCTCCACTGGAAGCACCCTCACAGCACACCCAGAAAGAACATTTCATCTGGGCCCATCAAATTGGTCCATAAAATTAACTGTCACACAGAGGATTCCCTGCTTTTGCCTCTTTGACTTTCTTTGTGCTGTTCTGGATTTTTAATCCACCAGGATTTTTAATCCACCATCTCCCCTTGGAAACTTCTGTCTGCACCAGAGTGGTCCTCTCAAATGTTACTTTCTCCCAGAACTCTTGCCCACTTCCACCCTAATAACGTCTCTCTTGTGTTGAGCTTTCTCTGCCCTTATGCTGCTAGTACTTTAGTAATGTCTTTGCTGCCCATTCTCCTAATTCTTCTGGAGGGTAAAGATTTTCTGATTCAAACCAAACTAATATGGAGATGAATGCTCAGGCACAATAGCAGTTAAGCTACAAGTGAGTTTGGAGACCACATTCCTAACTTTACATCCTTTCCATCTAGAGCAGGGTACCTGGATGAAGACCAAATGGAAATGCTATTGGAGCGGGCTCAGACAGAAGTCTTTTCAATCAAGCAGAAGTTGGACAATGACTTAAAGCAGGAAAAGAAAAAACTCCAGCAAAAATTAATAACTAAGAGAAGACGAGAGTTGCTACAAAAGGTATATAAGGCACGATGCTATTTATTATTTGCATAAGCACTTTCTAATACCTATCAAGTGGAGGTACTGTGCCAGACATTGCCATTGATGCACTAGGATCAGAAGGGCAGCTGGGCATGCACCATGATGTGCCATCTACTGTTGATTGGTAGCAACTTTTCGGAATGCTGTGTTCAGCAGGATGCTACAGTTCTTATCCAGCCCAAGCACAGCAGAGGATCATGGTAGACTAGTAATGTCTGCATGGACAAGGGAATTAGGAGTGCTGGTTTGTTGCGGGAAGTCAGGGGCCCCGAACAGAGGGACCGGCTGAAGCCGCGGCAGAAGAACATAATTGTGAAGATTTTGTGGACATTTATTAGCTCCCCAAACTAATACTTTTATAATTTCTTATTCCTGTCCTTACTGCAGTCTCTGAACATAAATTGTGAAGATTTCATGGACACTTGTCACTTCCCCAATCAATACCCTTGTGATTTCCTATGCTTGTCTTTACTTTAGTCTCTTAATCCGGTCATCTTTGTAAGCTGAGGAGGATGTATGCCGCCTCAGGACCCTGTGAGGATTGTGTTAACTGCACAAATTGTTTGTAGAGCATTTGTGCTTGAACAATATGAAATCTGGGGCACCTTGGAAAAAGAACAGGATAACAGCAATGTTCAGGGAACAAGGGAGATAACCTTAAACTCTGACTGCCGGTGAGCCGGACGGAACAGAGTCATATTTCTCTTCTTTCAAAAGCAAATAGGAGAAATATCACTGAATTCTTTTTATCAGCAAGGAACATCCCTGAGAAAGAGAATGCGCCCCTGAGGGTAGGCCTCTAAAATGGCCGCTTTGGGGGCAGCTATCTTTTACGGTTGTAGACAAAGGGATGAAATAAGCCCCGGTCTCCTGTAGCACTCCCAGGCTTATTAGGCCGAGGAAATTCCCACCTAATAAATTTTGGTCAGACCAGTTATCTGCTCTCAAACCCTATCTCCTGGTAAGATGTTATCAATGACAATGCGTGCCCGGAACTTCATTAGCAATTTTAATTTCTCCCCATCCTGTGGTCCTGTGATCTTGCCCTGGCTGCATTTGCTTTGTGATATTTTATTACCTTGTGAAGCATGTGATCTCTGAGACCCACATCCTATTCATACACTCCCACCCGTTTTGAAAATCACTAATAAAAACTTGCTGGTTTTATGGCTCAGGAGGCATCACGGATCCTGCCGACATGTGATATCTCCCCCAGACACCCAGCTTTAAAATCTCTCTGTTTTGCACTCTTTCCCTTTATTTCTCAGGCCAGCCGACACTTAGGGAAATAGAAAAGAACCCACGTTGAATATCGGGCGTGGGCTTCTCCTGATACTGGTTTGAGTGACTAATGATGATGGTAGGTGCTAACATTTGTTGGGTGCTTACTTAGCACTGTGCTAAGCATGTTATATAAGATATCTTGTTTAATCTTTACATTAACCCTATGAGGGAGATACCACTGGGTTTGTGTGTGTGTGTGTGGTCAAGGTCAGTTATCTAGTAAGTGGCATGCATGGCATGTATTTGGGGACTCTAAGAATATGATGAGGCTGGAGTGTGCAGAGGGACTAGGGTAGGCCCCAGAAGGGAATGCAGCAGCATGTCAATGGGGGCATGGCGTGCCAGGCTAAGGGGTTACCCTCCATCCAAGGATACTGAGGAATGTTGAAGGGTCTTCAGGAGGTGAGAGAGACATCAGATCTGTGATTTAGGAAGCTGAGGTGAGCACCTTGTCAGATGGAGTTGAGGAACCTGGGAATATAAACCCCATGGGAGGTTCTGGTACTTGTCCAGGTGTGAGCAAATGAAGGCCTAAACTGGCACAGACCCCTGAGTACAAGGGATAAGGACAGATTCAGGGAATGTATAGGGCATGCAGGGTGACACCCAAGTAGTTGGTTGGTATGATTTGCAGGGAGGGGATGAATAATAACTTTCAAATTTGATCAATGGAAACTCTGCTCTTTTTTTTTTTTTTTTTTTTTTTTTTGAGACGGAGTCTGGCTCTGTCGCCCAGGCTGGAGTGCAGTGGCTGGATCTCAGCTCACTGCAAGCCCCGCCCCCCGGGTTCATGCCATTCTCCTGCCTCAGCCTCCCGAGTAGCTGGGAGTACAGGCGCCCGCCACCTCGCCCGGCTAATTTTTTTTTTTGTATTTTAGTAGAGACGGGGTTTCACCATGTTAGCCAGGATGGTCTCGACTCGATCTCCTGACCTCGTGATCCGCCCGTCTCGGCCTCCCAAAGTGCTGGGATTACAGGCTTGAGCCACCGCGCCCGGCCAACTCTGCTCTTTATTACTAAGTTTGGAACCCAACAGAAAGCCGTGATTCTGACCTTGATCACTGATGCATACCCCATCTTTGAGCATCACACCATTCATCTCTGAGCCACTGGTTAAGGGATTAAAACAGTGGGGCCCAGGGCTCCATTTCCCTACTGTCTTACCTGAAGGTCAGTGTCTAGAAAGAAGGATGAACTCCATATCCTATAGGAGATTCTGGCAGTCTTCTGTGACTATTATTTCTTGCAGCTACTGTTGATAAACATTACAAGTGGCCCAGAATTAGGATGTAGCTCCGTGAAGGCAAAAACTTAGGTTGCATCCCCACTGTTGAGAACACTGCCTGACACCTGGTAGGTGCTCAATACATATTTGTAGAATGAATGAATTGACACTCTCTGGTCACCAGGACCTATAAACACGGGTTATGGTATACTAGTAATGTCTGCATGGGCAAGGAAATAGGAGTGCTGGTTTGAGTGACTAATGATAATGGTTGGTGCTAACATTTATTGAGTTCTTACTTTGGAAGAGCATCTTATGTTCTCTCAAAATAGAGCTGAGAGGCCGGGCGCAGTGGCTCACACCTGTGATCCCAGTGCTTTGGGAGGCCAAGGCGGGCGAATCACGAGGTCAGGAGATCGAGACCATCCTGTCTAACATGGTGAAACCCCGTCTCTACTAAAAAATACAAAAAATTAGCTGGGTGCGGTGGCGGGCACCTGTAGTCCCAGCTACTCAGGAGGCTGAGGCAGGAGAATGGCGTGAACCCAGGAGGCGGAGCTTGCAGTGAGCCAAGATTGTGCCACTGCACTCCAGCCTGGGCCACAGAGCCAGACTCCATCTCAAAAAAAAAAAAAAATAGACCTGAGACTATCATGTGGACCCACTGTTATAAAGAGCACCATAATGGACATCTTTATGCATCTCAATTTTTTTCCCCCACCACGGGGCCTTTGCACCAACTGTTCTTTCTCCCAGGAATGTTCTTTCCCCATTTCTTAACCTGATTCAGATGAGACCTCCTTCCTTAGGTCTCACTTAGATCTTCTTCCTTAAAAGCTTCGCTGACCTCCTCATTTAAGTTGTCTCTCAATGATCTTAGCTTTTTGATTCCCCTTTATAATATTATAGCTTGCAGATCCTGTGTACCTAGCACATAGTAATAACACTAACAGATATTTATTGGCATAAACTATGTCAGGCACTTTTCTATGAGCTGTACGTGTGTGAAGTAACTCACATAATCCTCGCAACTATTCTGAAAGGGAGGTCCTATTATTGTCCCCATTTTACCAATCAGATAGGGAAATGGAGGCACAGAGAGGGTAAAATACCTGCTTTGGATCACTCAGCTTGTGAATGGGGGACCCAGGACCCGAACCCAGGCGGTCTGTCTCCTGGGCTTTACCTACTCAACAAATACATGTTTAATGAATGGTGAACACATAAGGATTCTACCGTATATTTTTTTAAAAAACAGTAACTTTCTAGACCTGGCGCAATGGTTCACAGCTATAATCCCAGCGCTTTAGGAGGCTGAGGTGAGTAGATCACTTGAGGTCAGGAGTTCAAGAGGAGCTCGGCCAACATGGTGAAACCCCAACTCTACAAAAAATACAAAAATTAGCTGAGTGTGGTGGAACACACCTGTAATCCCAGCTACTGGGGAGGCTGAGGCAGTAGAATCACTTGAACCTGGGAGGCGGAGGTTGCCGTGAGCCAAGGTAGTGCCACTGTACTCCAGCCTGGGCGACAGAAGGAGACCCTATCTCAAAAATAAATAAATAATAAATTTAAAAATAAAATAAATTAATTTTTTAAAAAATTAGCCTGGCATCACGGTGCACGTGCCTATAATTGCAACTACTTGGGTGTTTGAGGCACAAGAATTGCTTGAACCCAGGAGGTGGAGGTTGCAGTGAGCCAAGATCGCACCACTGCACTCCAGCCTGGGCGACAGAGCGAGATTCCATCTAAAAAATAAATAAATAAATAAATAAATAAATAAATAATAAACAGAATAACTTTCCAAATGTGAGATTGTTGGGGCAAAGGCTATAAACATTCTGTGCCTCCTGCACCAAAGTGTTTCAGCCAAAGGGCTGTACCCGCCAAGCCCTGCCCCCACTTAATTTTCTTTTCTGAAACTCCAGCACAGGGAGCAGCGGAGGGAGCAGCTCTCCATCAGCGAGGCCTTTCAAGCGGTTGAGGATGCCGGCCAGTACCTGCGCCAGAGGAGGAGCCTGATGGAGGAGCAGGGCGCCGCCCTGGAGGAGCTGCAGGAGCGTCTGGACCAGGCTGCCCTGGACGATCTCAGGGCCCTGACCCTCTCGCTGTTTGAGAAGGCCACCGATGAGCTGCGGCGCCTGCAGAACTCAGCCATGACCCAGGAGCTGCTCAAGCGCAGCGTGCCCTGGCTCTTCCTGCAGCAGATCCTGGAGGAGCACGGCAAGGAGATGGCCGTGCGGGCCGAGCAGCTGGAGGGGGAGGAGAGGGACAGGGACCAGGAGGGTGTCCAGAGCGTGAGGCAGAGACTGAAGGACGATGCTCCTGAGGCCGCCACGGAGGAGCAGGCGGAGCTGAGACGCTGGGAGCACCTGGTCTTCATGTGAGTGCTCCTGCGCGCCCTAATCACACCTCCCCACCCCATTGATGCCAGGGAGATTCCTCCCCTGTGGTTGTGGGGATGGCCAAGCATGAGATACCTGGCACCAGACAGATGACATTACCAGCGTTAATTAGTCATAGGAACTCACGCTCCCGGGGGAGGACCTCGAATGTCACACGGGACCCTACAGGGATTGAGCAGAGTGCAGAACCAGGACCGTAGGGTTTGTAGTAACAAGAGGATGGGTGGCCCCTGGCTTCCAAGGGAAGATGTGATTAGCTTGTCTGAATAATTCCCTGGGCTGAATAACTCCAGGGAGCTGAGTACTCAGGGATAAATGCTGATTCCCCTAATAAGAAATGTCCCCTGGGGAGGGGACATGATCCACGGGAACAGAGGGGGAAGGGGAGCTTGTGGTTAGGCCATTCCAGGCCCTGCTCGTTTCACCAGGCATCAAGGCTGCTCATGATCTTGACCTTCATGTTAGTTCTTCCACCACACTACGTCATCCTTTCACCTGGCCCTTTCATCCCTGGTCCATTTCTCGGACTATGTATCTTTATTATTAATTCAGGAACCATGTAATGACTTCCGCTTCTGAGTGGGATGCAGTGGACCACACCTAACACTCCTGCTGCAGTAACTAGAAAATAATGGATACATTTATTTTTAATATTTAGTTTATTTTTTGTAGAGGGGGGGTCTCACCCTGTTGCCCAGGCTGGTCTCGAACTGCTGGGCCTAGGCAATCCTCCCGCCTCAGCCTCCCAAGATAAATTTCACCAGTAATTTTTTAAAGACATGGGAGAGTGGTGGAAACAATGAAGACAAGTTGGAGTCGTATTCCAGAGGGGCCAGTGCCCATAGTCCTTTACTTCCCTGAAACATTTGCCAGCTCTTTGTGCAGCTGGGATTTGGCCTGGCCCAGGAAGGGAGCCTTTTGTGCTGTAATAGAGACCAACAGAGCTTTTGGTGGTTGTTTGTGGCTGGCAACAGATTGGAAACTGGAGGGACCTCTAACATAGCCAGTGTAGAATGAGACTTGGGCGATGTAGACCAAAATACCCAGGACCACCACTTACATTTGTGCAACTTGTTTAACCTCTCTGGGCCTCAGCTTTCCCGCTTGTAAAATGAAGACCACAAAAACGAAATCAAATCATTTAAGGTGCTTTTGGCATTACAGTGTCACTATCGAGTAGTTTAAATGTGAAGACAATGTTTATATAAGAGCCTGGGCTCATCTTGGACGCTTTAAAGGACACAGGATCTGTCATCAATTTCCCTCCTCCCTTGTAGAAGTTATCTCCTAGAATCTTGCTGGCCTCCGTGATTTAACGTCCTTTCCTTTCCCACACAGTTTTCATCCCCAGAGTCTGACCTTGCTACCAGGAAAATAGGTCCCCAGGTGTTTGCAAAGATTGATACTGTCTTGGTTTGCATTAAGTGAGGTTTGGCCCTTTCCCGTCTCTCTCTTTTGTGATTCTGGCCTCATTTATTTTTTAATGCTTGTTAGCTTTTGCTTTCTTGACCAGGAAAACAAGATGCTGTCTTCTCTTAGTCCATAAAAATCAGATCCTTAAATGCCATTTCTTATTCCCATGAATTGCCCTCAACAGTATTTATTCAGCTTAGCCTACATTCCAGAAAATTCTCCTCTCATGTTCAAATTGACTTTGGACTCTTCGTAGCAAGTGAATTAACTTTGGCATTCCTATTACCAGCTGGTCATTTTCTTCAACTTCATTTGGATTCATTTTGCAGGGAGTATTACCAAAGCCACTGCTGATTTAGCCATTTAACGGGAAAAAGAGAACTCTCACTTGGCTATCATAAAAGTGTATGATTTTTCCAAGGGTTAAAGAGGATCAACTCGCAATGCGAGTCTGCTCATATACTTTGCTTATTTAAGATTCTAAAAGGTTGCAGCATTTATTTCCGAGGCATTATGCAAAAATGGCTTTGCACAATAGATTTGAAACACATTTTTAGAAGCTTTCCAATTTCAACCAAGATGGGGTTGCTGTAAAACTGGTTGGCTAAAGTAGGAATTAATGAGGAATATCTTTGCAAGAGAAAGCGTGTCTTCGAGCCTTCTTTCCTGAGTTCCTGTCTTGATTTCAAACTCCTTCAGGGCAAAGATCTCGCCTCCTCTATTTCTGTATTCTCTTGGCACTTACGTAACAGAGGATTAAGACAAGAGTGCTCAGGGCCGATCTGGTTTGAAAGTGACAGGAATAATGACTGAGAGTCATCTCAGAGTTGCTTTTACTTTGGGTTCGGCGTAATCAGCAAACAGTGGGGCGAAGGCTTTGCACAAGGGGAGGTGCAAGGGGGTTGCTGCCGTTTCCAAAGGTTGCTTTAAAAATCGTGGGGCCCCATGAAGTGAGGAACCCAAGATGGGTGTCACATGACATGGGGTCAGGCCTCAGACTGTTTTCAGCAGAGGGCCCGTGTGGTCTCTGAAGGTCTCATTCTCTTTCCAGAGACCTTTCTGGCAGAGCCACAGCCCCACATTCCCACACTGAGATTTGGATATGGTAAACCTGACTCTGGCCAACCACGTCGGGTGTTCTGCAGATAAATCTGAATTTTAAAGCCTCTGTCGATGCTGGCTGCATTGACAGAACATTACCAGAACATTCAAACAAATCTACAGAGAATCTTTGTTCATTGAATAATTCTGTCCAGACTTTCTGAACAGATTTCCTCTTATATCTCATGGGCCAGAACCAGCCCCGTTGAGGCTGAGAAAGCAATTGTGTGGCCATTCTCTCCATTAGAGTGGGCTATGGGCCTTGCTGGAAAGGAAGAGGGACTGCTCATTTCCTCGTCTGTAATTTGGTGTAAGGAACAGCAATGATGTAGGTCATTGCATTTGTTTCTGAGCACTACCGTAACAAAGTACCACAAACTGGGTGGCTTAAAACAACAGAAATGTGTTCTCCCACTGTTCTGAAGGCTGGACGTCCAAGATCAAGGCATTGGCAGGACCGTGCTCCCTCTGAAGGCACCGGGGGAGAATCTGTTCCATACCTTTACTGCTGGTGTTTCTGGCAATTCTTGGCATTCATTGGCTTGTAGATGTCACACCCCAATCTCTGCCTCCGTGTCAGATGGCCTCCCTGTGTGTTTGTCTCTTTTCTGATAAGGACACCAGTCATACTGCATTAAGGGTCCACTGTGCTCCAATATGGCCTCATTTTAGCTCACTTCTTAATTACATTTGTAAATACCCTATTTCCAAATAAACCGACATTCACAGGTCCCAGGTTAGGACTTGAATATATCTTTTTGGGAGCCATAATTCAATCCATAACACTAAGTCACTCAGCATGGTTCCCAGCGTGGAATCGGTTTTCACTGAATGATAGCTGTCAATCATTACCCTTCGGAACCAATCACAAGGGACTCCCATTTCCCTGACCTCCCTGAGCTGAGTATTGTGCGTCTCTCCTCTGTCCATTGGTCCTACGTAGAGAATGCTGCTGACCAGGCTCCGCAGACAGTGCTTTGTTTACGTGTCTGTTTCTGAAGCGAGACCAGGTTAATTGAAAGTCATGGACACTGGAAGGCCTGTTGCCTCCTCAAAGACACCCTCACAGCCTGGCCTCATCCAGCTCTTGTTCTTAGCTCCAATACAATGTCCTGTGCACCACGACGTGCATTAGGTGCTCAAGGAATGCCTGTGGCAGGAATGCATGATTAGGGAGCCAAGGTTTTTCTGCAGACCTAGATTTGAGGAATGAGCTTTGCATCTTCAGCTTCATCACCCCAGCCCAGCCCCCAGGCTTTCTCTGTAAGAGCATGTCTCTGTTCTCCCTTCCAGGAAGCTCTGCTCCTCAGTCTTCTCCCTGTCTGAAGAGGAGCTGCTCCGGATGAGGCAGGAGGTCCATGGCTGCTTTGCTCAGATGGACAGGAGCTTGGCCCTCCCCAAAATCCGGGCCCGAGTTCTGCTGCAGCAATTTCAGACTGCGTGGCGAGAAGCAGAGTTCCTGAAGCTGGACCAGGCCCTGGCTGCCCCCGAGCTGCAGGTAGGATGGACATGTCAGTGGCCTCTCGATTATAGAAGCAGGGCTGTCTGCCAGCTGCTGAGCCTACAGGGTCTGGCCTCTCCACCACCCTGAGTCCATCTCACCTCATGCTCACCTATCCTCTCCTCTCTGGCCGCATTGGGGTCTAGCTATTCCAGGAATCTCCAGGGTTGTCCCAACTTTAAAGTTTATAGTGGACACCGCTGGTGCTGTGCCCTGATCCTGACACCTGGGTTGTTGCACCATCCACCAGCAGCCTCGCCCAGCCACAATCTTCTCCTGATGGAAGCTGCCTGGCCTGAGATATTACTCTGTCTCTCCTGCCCACTCCTCCAGCCACAGCTAATGACTTACTCTGGGTACAAAAGGCCTTTCTATATGGCATGGAGGAGGGATGCTCAGCTCAGCTCAGGTGGGTCAGGGAAGGAGGGGCTCTTGCACAAGATCTTAAAGGATGATGACTGGCAGCTGCCTTTTAATGAGCAGCTATTATGTGCCTGAGGACAGACAACTCTTTGGTGCAGTTTTTGCTTCAAAGCCCCCAGGGACCAATTTAGGCTCAACTTCACCTGAGACCACAGCCTTGCTTGGCTCTTCCCTTTCCTGTCGTGTTCCCTTGTTCCCCAAGAGGGTGATCCTAAAGAGACCTCCTTCAGGAAACCACGTGCACCTAATCCCTGCCTCAGGCTCTGCTTCTGGGGCTCCCAACATAAAATAAGGCCTTCGAACCTCTGTTTTCTCTGCCATGTATATGCTTTGTAGCCCATTGAGGTCTCGGCTCAAATGCCACCTCCACCAAAAAGCCCTCCCTGAGCACCTGTCTAAAATTACCCTCTCCCTAGGCATTCTTTATCACATGCTGGGTTTCATGATTTTATTTATCATTATCTGAAATGTGCTGGTTCCTTGACTTCCCCTTTGTCTGTGCCTTCACTAAAAATAAGCTCCCCGGCCCATTCAGCACTCAAGAGTGCCAAGTGCATAGTAGGTGTGCAGTCAATTTTGTTGGCTTAAACATCCCACCAGCCAAGCACCAGATGTGTGTAAAACACATCTGAGACTTCTCTTAAGGTAGTAATAGTTGAGACTGAAAACATATTAAAATCACCGAAGCTGACATCATCTCCCCTGAAGTTCACAGCAGTGCTAAGAGGTCAATGTGGTGTCCCATTTTACAGATGAGAAAACAGGCCAGCAGAGGAAAAGGGAGTAGCCCTATAGGAGGTAGAGAACTGGGCTGGGAGCTGGTGTTTCCTGACTTTAAACTCACTTCTTTTCCTTTAGAGAAAGAAAAAAACTCAGACACATCCTTTCGGAATATAAACCAGTGGATGCAGAAACCACTTGGAAGCTTTGACATTCTTTTAATTTTTTTTAAAGTACTGTTGTTTTTTTTCCTACTTCCGTTCTTACAAGGAGGTAGGAGATACAGAATAAGAGTAACGGGTAAATTATAAAAGTTTTAAATAATTTTGAACAATGGGGGAAAATAATTTTCACTTCACCGAAGTGAGGGGAGGGAGTCCATGAGCTGCTGGTTCCCCTGCCTTGAAGCTGGTGAGTCCCGGCAGGAACGAAGTTTCTACCTTCAAAGTTGCCCAAGATGCTTGGTTTTCAGATGGAAATGGCTTTGGCCATTGCCTCAGAGGAGGCAGATGTCATGAAGTTGCTCGCTCCACATTCTCCAGAGGGAAGGCTGAGCCAGCACGGTCAGGCTTTTGCACCGATGGAGCCACAGCTCCCTTCACTTGCTCAGCCCCGAGATAGCAGCAGAGAAGGTGGCGGGAGAGCCTGCTCTCAGTTTCCTAAGCACCAAGGCCTGGGGAGAAAATCGTTGTTTTAGTCTTCATGTTTTCATCTGTAAAATGGGTATCATGAGGCTATATGGGGCCAGGTGGAGCAATGTTAGTGGATGCTTAGTGCATTCTCCATCCCTTGGCCGTCCTCACCCACCTGTCGTGTCACCACCAGAGAACCCCCGCATTTCTTCCACGCACACTTCTCTTTGATCTAGGCCCGCAAAACAGGTAGTGTCTACTGTTTGCCGTCATCTGCTGGTGGCCCCCAGGGCTCCCAGACCATTCACGGACATGAGTTTCAAAGGCACTTGCAAATTCTAAAGAGATGTGCAAGTCAGATTCACCACCCTTCAGCCCTTTCTGTAGCTCTCTGAGCTGGGATCCAAGTTCCAACATGACCTCAAGGTTCCCTGTGGCCTGGGCCCTGACCAGACCCATGCTGGGAAGGCTCTCAGGGGAGAGGGAAGGTAGGGAGGGGAATCCTGACTTGTAGCATTCACCCATTTCCATAGTGTAAATCCTCCTCCTAAGGCCAGTTTCAGGCTACCGGCTTGACATCACTGCCTGGTAGTTGGGCAGAGATGTGTACAATGGGCTCCCTGCCTGGCCCTCTCTGGGGATATCCCCTCCCAACCCCAGTCTGTACCCTGGGCTTCCAGGTCCTGTCTGCCAATGTGGCTCTACTCCTAGTGTCCTTATTTAGTTTCCATGTTTTCAGACGGTTTTCTCCACTGTCATGGAAGCATTGCAAGAACAGGGACCTCATTCATCACATCCCCTTCCCAGAGAGGCTGACAGGTCTGAGGTCCCACGGCTACTTAGGAGGTGGACACAGCTTGGTTCTGCTGTCTGACTGCAGAGCTGAGGTTCTGCCCACCAGATTGTGTGAAGATCAAAGGCTCTGAAACTGAGCTCCTTCCAGAAGAACATACCTCTCTCCTCCCCTGTCTGGCTTAAGGCAGAGATTCGCGGTTCTGGGAGCTGCAGAAACTTCTCGTGACCTGCAAAGCCCTGGGGGGCTGCATGGACTTGCTGGTGATAGCCTTCTTACTAGTGTCTTCCCCAACCCCTCTCCAGCAACAGTCCAAGGTGAGAAAGTCACGGTCCAAGAGTAAAAGCAAGGGAGAGCTTCTGAAGAAGTGCATCGAAGACAAAATTCACCTCTGTGAGGAACAGGCCTCTGAAGACCTGGTGGAAAAGGTCAGTACTTCTGCTTCACCCACTGTTTCTCTCTGCACGTGGCGGGGCTGATAGCTGATGTATTTGCAGGTACACAGAGGCCTTGGGGCTGTGCCATGCATTTCCACCCAACCACTCACTCACTCAGGTGCTATGGTAAGAAAGAGTTGGAAGACCCTCCCCCTGGGCCTTTCCCCTGTGCATTCTGCTTGGAGCCCTCTCCCTCCACTTCTCAGCCTGGGGATCTCACCACATCCTTCAGGCTTCCCCTTGGGTGCTACCTCTCTGGCTGAGTCACTTGCTGTATTTGTACCTGACTCTATCCTGGGGCGTGTGCATCTGCCATTTCACCTCCATCACATTCTTTTTCTCTCTCACACTCTCCTCCATGTTCCCACAAACTCACCAGGCTCTCCCTTCAGCCCCATTTTTTGTTTGTTTGTTTTTTGTTTTTTTGAAATGGAGTCTTGCTCTGTCACCCAGGTTGGAGTGCAATGGTGTCATCTCGGCTCACTGCAACCTCCACCTCCCGGGTTCAAGTGATTCTCCTGCCTCAGCCTTCCGAGTAGCTGGGATTACAGGTGCCCACCATCACACCAGGCTAATTTTTGTATTTTTAGTAGACATATGGTTTCACCACGTCGGCCAGATTGGTCTCGAACTCCTGACTTCAGATGATCCGCCCACCTCAGCTTCCCAAAGTGCTGGGATTATAGGCGTGAGCCACTGTGCCTGGCGCAGCCCCATTACATACGTGATGTTCTAGCACACACCACACAGTCTCCTAGGATGCTTTAATCTGTATTCTTCTGTCTTTCTGGAATTACTTTTCCACCTGTTTACCTGGATAAGTAACTTGTGTCCTTTGCTGTCCTGAGCTGTTCCCTCAGCTCTTGGATGTCTCTCCTTCCAAGAAGCCTTCCCCAAACACCCTAGATTTTCCCACTCGTTCCACCCCACTTCCAGCTCTTCCTTACCATAGTACCTATCACGTGGTTAATTTGTTCCACAAGTATTTTGGGGAGGCACCAGTGTCCCAGGCACTGTGTCAGTGCACTCTGGGGTTGCAGCAGTGACTGAGGCAGCCCTGGTCCCCGCTCTCCAGTAGAGGAGAGCACGTTCTAGTTGGGGAAGATGGATGATAAACACTTAAAATGATAGACTGTCGTCAGTGCTATTAAGGACATAAATTAGATGATGTGGCCTTAGAGGTGAAGGAGGCTGGCAGCGGGGTGGACTGTAGGTAGGGGAGGAGGCAAGGTCTCCTCTGCAAAGGTGCTGCTTAAGAGTAGACGCTATGTGACCGCAGCCTGGGTGCCTGTCTGCCTTTCCCAGCACCCTGTGAAGGGTGGATTCCCAACAGGAGTATGTTCAGTGAATGAATGTATGAAGCCATGCTTTAGAGCTGCTGTTTTTGTTCTTACCTTCCCACTATCTCCTTTTTCTAGCTTTTTTGCTTGGTTTTATGTTAGTGCCGGTGTACTTCTCAGAACACAAATGTGTGATCTGGCCAAGAGCCACAGAAACTGCTCTGGGGTCAGTGTCTCCCATCAGGTGTGTCCAGGCTGTTGATGTCTTAAGGGATCCAGGAAGTGGCAACTCTATTCCCACCCAGGTTCTGTATGAAATTGAACAGTAAGACAAAGATTAGGCAGATAGGGGCAAAATGTCATCTTCCCTATTGTTAAAGGCTAATTCCAAGAGCTATACATCAATGTGAGAGCCAGTGGGCTTGCCAAACTACCTGAGAGTTAAACAAACTCCATCATCCAATCACAGTATCACTAGGGGGTTCCTTGTGGGGGGCAGCCTACCCCTAGGGAAGCAGAGCAGAAGTCGGAGTCCCAGAGAGAAGCAAGAGAGATAAGCCAAGCTGTCCCAGTTTATTCCCAGTTTACAGCAAGAAGAGGAGAGAGCCAGAGAGAGGTCAGGTCCTGCGCACATTGAGCTCCTGGCACAGGGAGGAAGTAGCCACACTTGGGGGTAGAGGGAGCATTTCCGTGAGTACCGGCTGCTTTGTGATCCTCTGTAAGAGGCGAAACCCGCCAGAGTGAAGGTGACTGTTGTCAGAGAAGAGCTGCTGGTGAAGGGAAAGCTGGGGTTTGGATTGGCAGAGGGAATGGGTATCGTGAACTGTGCTGGAGGCCACACTGCACCGAGGGAACCCAGAGGGTTGAAGCCTTGTGACAAGACTGCTTTTCTGGAGTGCTGGGTCATGGCCAGTGGATGGGGGAGCAGCCCTGTGGAGGAACCTTCTCAAAGACCAGACTGAGAAAGAAAAAGGCTATCTCACCAGCACCCTTGGAGCATAGTCACAGGATGAATGTCTTGAACGAGAAGGTGATGCAGAGGTGGCAACCCATGGGGACATCAGGTGCAGACTGCACCACTCCCACCCAGTGGCTCAAGGCTGGACCTCAACATCCTCCATAACCCCTCCCTGCCCCTACCTCATCTCCCCCTGCTCTGTCTCATAATTATTTCTAATCCATCTCCTCTGTTTCCGGCTGTGCCCAGCACCATTTTTGCCTAGATACATACAGTGGGCTCCCTACTGCTTCCTGTTTGTTCCCCCTTCCTTCCAATTGGTTCTCCTTGCAGCAGGGAGCATCCTCTTCCTAAAGCCCAGCTCTAATCCCTTATGGATCCTGAACCAGCAGACCCGTCTCCTTTTTTTCCCAAACTAGTCATTTTAATAGAAGGAACTAAGCACATTCCTTCCTGTAGTTTTTTTTCTTCTTCTTTTTTTAAAACCATGTCAACCTGAAATAATTGAAAGAATCAGAACCCAGTGTTCGAGAGTTTATCCAAGAGAAAACCTGGGTATTGCCATCTGGGAAACACAGACTGCAGAGAAATGGGGTCAGCACTCTAGAGCTAAAAGTTAAGGTCTTGCTTATATAAGAACAAAACAAAGAGATTTAACAGGATTACAACATTTTCTACACAAGGCTAGTTTGTAAGTTACAAGTTTAATTAGTTACGGTTTGTTTTCTTTTCTGTATGGCTCGTTTTCATTTCCTTTCCAATTTAAAAGAGTATATTTAACATTCCGTCTTGGCAAATGAGATAGCCATGAGGTCTGTGTGTGAGAGAAGAGGGAAGTTAATCTGTAAGGAAGATCAAAAGGAAGCCGTCTTTTCTGGCGCCCTCTAGTCATTTACGGCATTTTACACAACAATGTAGGCTGGGAAGAAGGCTAATCGGTAATCAGAGAAACAAAAGTTCAGCCCCGTAGGTTACAGCTTCCTGTCACGTGACTCAGGCCCGAAAATCACATTCCTTTATGGCACCCAATAATTTAAAGTTTCTGCAACTTAGGTTTCAAATTACTTATTTTCACGACTATTTACATTTTCTCTTGGTGGCAAGTGTAGAATATTGTTTTCTTTGCCTTTTAGTTTTTTTCTCTGTTTTTGTTCTGTTCAGGATTTTTGTTTTATTTAGACATTTCAATGCTTTATATCTCACATTACCACTTTTCTTTCTTAGGTTCTTTCAATTTTTTTTTAGTTTTTAATTCCAATACTCAGTATTATTACTGAAAATACCTTCACCTCATTCTCTTTGTTTGTCACCCATGGTCCTTTAGAAGTTTGTTACTCTCCCAGGCCTCTGCTTTCATCATAATGTATAAAAGACGGCTCTGTGTATAATTAACTAGGCTTACAAGGCAATCAGTACACTATACTAATATGGCATAGTGATACTAAAAAACTGTTGCGGCCGGGCGCGGTGGCTCAAGCCTGTAATCCCAGCACTTTGGGAGGCCGAGACGGGTGGATCACGAGGTCAGGAGATCAAGACCATCCTGGCTAACACGGTGAAACCCCGTCTCTACTAAAAAATACAAAAAACTAGCCGGGCGAAGTGGCAGGCACCTGTAGTCCCAGCTACTCGGGAGGCTGAGCCAGGAGAATGGCTAAACCCGGGAGGCGGAGCTTGCAGTGAGCTGAGATCTGGCCACTGCACTCCAGCCTGGGTGACAGAGCGCGACTCCGTCTCAAAAAAAAAAAAAAAAACTGTTGCTACCCTCTATCAAATTGCTATCAGATACCAGGCTTATAGCTGATGCTCTTCATGAGCGTGAATCTCCATACTCAACATTGCTACAAGAATGGCATCTTGAGGTCCATTCTAAGCTCAAAAAGGTTTAGTGCCCAACCCAGGGTCCACCACCAGGCATGTGATCGGACTTGGTCTGCCTTGGCCCTCTGTGCAGCATCTCCTAGTTCACACTGGCATCCTGGTCCCAAGTAACATACTAGTCATCACTTCTTCCATAGAATGAACAAGGGATCCAAGGCAGATGGGGAGGAGACATCTGAGGATCTCCATGCTACAGAGGGTACACATGATGACAGCTTGCCTTGGGAATCCTTGTGTACTGGGCCACCTTATCCAGTTGACACATGAGAGACAGCATCACCAGGGGGCTGTGTGACTTGTTCAGGACCATCCAACGAATGGGTTGTGACCCTTACAACTCAAAGCCACATCCATTTGATTCCAGCTCACCCATCCTGATCTACTTGCCACACATTCATAGACACCTAAGGAAGTTCCACAAAAGGCATTTGTGGAAAAAAAAAAAAAGGAGCAAGACATAAGACACTGACCAAGAACATAGTGCAAGAGTAAAGACCAGCTGAACCAGGCAGGTGAGCCCAGCAGGTGAGCAGAGGCCTTCAGGGACGGGAGGTGAAGGGAGCTGGAGGTCTGCGATTCCCTGAGCCTGTTTCAGCACCCTCCCATGCCCTGACCTCACGTCTGTGGTTTACATTTGGGGCAGACCTTTGTCCTACCTCCTAGCCCACACGCACAAGCCAGACCCTTCACCTGGTCCTGGGCTGAAGACACAGCCATCTGCTCCGGCTCTGGAGGAAGGACTGGCCAGTTGGTGCTCCCCAGGGTGTTTCCAAGGGTGATTTCGATTTCGTTTTTGTCTTATGCACTGATTGAAGAACTTACCTCCCTTCCTAAAGTGTGATGGCATTTTAATAAGAATGGTGCCTACTTCC